CGTCATCAAAATTTCTAGCCGGTAGGACGACGACAGATGAAGATCTTGAGGATATGCTGGAGTCTGGAAATCCCAATATATTTACTCAAGGGGTGAGTCTATGATTGGTTGATTGATTGATTGGTTAGTTGGTTGATTGACTGAGTGACGGATTGATTGATTTTCTAGCCTACTGACTTGCCTGCCTGCCAGCTAGCTGATTGACTGACCGATCGACCGACTAAATTGATGATTGTTTAGTTGATTGGTTGGTTGGCGGATGGTGTAGTGGTTGTAGGTGCTGCAACCGTCACGATAACATCAACAGATTATAACTGAGACCCAGCAAGCCAAACAGTCATTGAAGGATATCGAAGCCAGACATCAAGACATCATCAAACTTGAAAATAGCATCAGGGAGCTAAGGGATATGTTCCTCGATATGGCTATGCTAGTCGAGAGTCAGGTAGGAGGGCTGATTGTTTCGTTTGTATTTGTGTAGTTTGCTTGTTTGTATTAGCAGCAACATACGGACAAACGTACAATCAACAACATACAAAACGGACGAACAAACAAACACGCATACCAACCAACTAATCAGCAAACAAACACAAACAAACAAAACAAACATACAAACAAATAAACATACAAACAAACAAACATAGGGCGAAATGATAGAACGAATTGAATACAACGTGGAGAAATCAGTTGACTATATTGAGACTGCTAAAGCCGATACAAAAAAGGCCGTCAAGTATCAGAGTAAAGCTAGGAAGGTGAGGAGATGATGATGATGACGAAGATTGGGGTGATGAAGATGACGATGATGATGGTGACGATGGTGAAAATTCATAATAATTATAATATTATTAAGTAGTAGTCGTTTTGCTTGGATTTGAACTGGCTTTAAGGTGGGCTTTGTACATTAAATTTTAATAAAATTATCCATAATATGCGCTTTTTCTTGTTGTATCTAGGTATTATTCTTAGTATTGTTATTATTATTAGTATTATTGATACAAATATACAAATACACACACACACGCATGCATACATACATACATATATACATACATACATACATACATACATACATGCATACATACAAACATACAAACATTTCCAGAAACGGATAATCATAATCATCATCATCATCGCTATCGTCCTCGTCTTGGCTCTTATCATCGGATTGTCTATTGGCTTACGACGATGATGACAATGACGACGATGATGATGATGACAGTGATGGTGATGATGATGATGACGATGATGATGACGATGTCAAAAGAACGACGAAGAAGATTATGATGAAAGCGCTGCATTAACATAATATATGCGCAAGATTGTCATTACGTTAACGTAATACAAGCATAAAGTTGACCATACATTAACATAATATATGCACAACATTAACATAATACATAGCATACATTAAAATAAAGTTAGCGTTATTTTTATCATTATTTAGGGTCAATTGCTTTGTTTTTATATGAATTTCTCGAGTTACTTAATAGCTGTGTAATCAAACCTATTTTTCCATTTCTTTTGTCTTTTTTTCATTCATTCCTTTACTTGATTCAATCCATCCATCCATTATATAAATTCATTCCACTGTCTGATTCTGTCCATCCATCCATCCATCATGCTTTTTATTCAATCGTTCATTCCAAATTTTAAAAAGTTTTATAGGTTTTCGTATTTTTGTAGGTGTCGGCATGTTTTCTGTCTCTGTCTGTCTGTCTGTATTTCTGTCTGTCTGTCTGTCTGTATGTATGTGTATGTTTCTATATCTATTGGCGATATTAATATTGATAATGATGATGAAGATTAAAATGACGATGAAGATGACGAAGAAGATGAAGATGATGATGGTATGTATGAATTAGTTTTTATGGCATGCAATTATGCGTTTGTATGGCAGTAATGTATGTTTTCCATTTATCCACTTGCTATTATTATTATTATTATTATTATTTATTATTATTATTATTGTTATTATTATTATTACTTTTGGGTGACTCTATCTACTATAGTTCATCTTTGCTTGTTGTTATGAGATAGGAAAGGGCTATAGAATGTATTTAGTGGATAATTCATGTTGTTTGCAATCGATTGTTCATTCGTTCGTTCATTTATTCCTTCGTTCATTCGTTCGTTCATTCTTTCTCTCATATATATATATATATATTTATTTATTTATTTAAAATGTGTGTGTGTGTGTGCTTTATGTTGATGATGGAGTTTTTATTTATGGCTAGTTCATCTCCTTGAACTTCCGATCGTATTTTTATTGTTTTTTTTCTTTGAAGTTTTTTATGTGTTGCTTATGGTTATTTATTTTATTATTATTATTAATATTATTATTAATTATTATTATTATTATTAATTATTATTATTATTTATTGCTGTTGTTTTTGAATTAATGCTATTGCTGTGTTTGTTTATTACCAATATTTTTATTCATTTGTCTTCTATTTATATATTGAATCATTTTTTCATTCATTCATTCATTCATTCATTCATTCATTCATTCATTCATTCATTCATTAAGCCCTCCCTTCATTCATTCACTCATTATTCATTAATTCATTCATCTATCTATCTATCCATCCAATCGATCAATCAATCAATCAATCAGTCAATCAATCAATCCTATAATATTACTATCCTAAAATGGTGATGATAATGATGATGATAATGATGATTACAGAAACTGATGATGATCCTTATCTGCCTACTTGTCGTCGTCGCAATCCTCATCATAGCCATCTCGACAAAATTATTCTGAATGTCTTAATATTCTAAATTATATATATATGTATATATATATATGTATATATATATACTATATCTGCTAAAAATATAACTAGTCTGTATATATATATATATATATATATATATATATATATATAGTTATAATTCTTAATAATACATTGTTTAATATATTACGTTTGAACTGTGTGTATATATACATAGTGCTTTTTTCATTTCTTCATAGTAACTTTCTCTTTCCACATACACACACACACGTACATACATACATACATACACACGTACGTACATACATACATACATACACACGTACGTACATACATACATACATACACACGTACGTACATACATACATACATACACACACAAACACTTGTATATACACTATATATAGACACGTATATATATATATATATATATATTATTTAACTCGTTTAAACTGCAATACATATATACAAATATACATACATATGCTGTTTATTTTCCTGGACAAATTTATTGATATATTATTGCCTTTGTGCCGCCTTCTTAACTACACACACACATACATACACATACAAACACATACACACACACACACACACACATATTGATTTGTAAATATACATATGTGTTTTTGTATTTAGTTGTACATATATTCATAGACGTTTGTTCTAACTGGGCGATGGATTTACACAATGTTAAAAGTTACCCTATATATATATATATATATATATATATATATATATATATATATATACATATATATATATTTATATATATATATATACATACAGATGTATATTCTTTACTTTATTCCTTCATAATTTCATAATTATCAATATATTACTGCCGATTATGTACATTTTTGATTAATTGACTGGCGATTTGTCTGTCGGTTGGTTGGTTGGTTGGCTGGCTGGCTGGTTGGTTGGTTGGCTGGCTGGCTGGTTGGTTGGTTGGTTGGTTGGTTGGTTGGTTGGTTGGTTGGTTGGTTGGTTGGTTGGTTGGTTGGTTGGTTGGTTGGTTGGTTGGTTGGTTGGTTGGTTGGTTGGTTGGTTTTAAACCAAATTTTTTTGATTTTTTCAAGCCGATTTTTTTTCGATTTTAAATAAAATTAAAAATTTTTATAAATTTAAAAGTCTAAAATTCCGTCGTTTTAATTGATTAAAATATGAATTTTTATCAAACTATTCTCCTTTGTTTTAATTTGTTATTAATTACAATTTTATTTAATAAATATATATTTGGTTATGGTTATTTACATGTACATGTGTGTGTTGTGTTGTCTGTGTGTTGTGTGTGTTTGTGTGTATTGTGTGTGTATAAATTATGAATTTTTAGTTATTTATGATTAATTGCCATTTCAAAAATTTATGATACACGCATACTACTTGTGTGTTTTACGTAAGTAGAGTGTCTTCTGCAATCTATATACGGATGATTAACTAATTGATTGTTTATCCGTATGCTTAGATTTTTGCGATTCTTTATTATTTGATTAATTAATTAATTATTTTGTTTATTTGTATTTTTATTTATTTACTAATTTATATATTTTTATTTAATTATTTATTTATTTTCATATTTTTAATTTAACATTTTGGGCCGGATAATTTATAAGTACTATTCATCAACACTGGAATGGAATATCTATCTACGATGATGAATATATGATTCGTTCAAATTTACTCACTTCGGTTTGTTCATTCATTTGAATTGAAATTTAGATCTGGTTGAATACAGTTTATATACATTCGGATACAATTTAGATCTAGCTGAATACAATTTAGATACAATTCGATACAATTTAGACAAAGTTGGATGCAATTTAGATGAAATTGGATACAATTAAGATAAAATTTGATACAATTTAGATACAATTGGTTACGATTTAGATATAGTTAAAATTTTGATAAAGTTGGATAAAGGTTAGATAAAGTCAGATATTATTTAGATACGGTTAATGAAAATTTATATACAGTTTGATATAGTGAGTTTAGAGTTGGGTAGAATTTAGACGTAGTTGGATACAATTTAGATACAGTTGGATACTATTTAGATACAGACGCCCAGTTGTGACTGATTGATATGAATTTTTGCAAACATAATTGCAAGTAGTTAGCGATGGATTTAGATTTAACGAATTCAAAGAGATCCTTGCTTTTTATTTACGAAATCGGATGATAAGCTCACTCATGCTGATTCAAAAATGTACCAGTTGTCTGTTAGATAGATGTGCGTGTTTATGCGTTTATTCGCATGTATGTGTGTGAATTAGGGAAAGAGTTATGAAAAGAGGAAATTACAAAAGATAACCCGACGGGGGGCAGTTAAAGTTTTTTGGTCACATCATGCGGAAGGAAAGAATGGAAGATCCAACAACTACTGGAAAGATTGCAGGGAGATGAGATCGCGGTCAACAACGAAGAACATTCGTTGAGTCCTTGGGTCACTTGTTGAACATCACTACATTTCAACTACTACGAAGTATTAAAGATCGGGTTTTGTGGAGGTCGATGGTCGCCAATGTCCTGTAAGGATAAGGCACGAAAAAGAAGAAGTGCTTGCTCATTAGCATAACTTATTAATTTAACTAATCATATATGTATATATGTGAATAAATGTGTGTGTGTGTGCTCATTAACATAATTTATTAATTTGACTAATCATGCCAGTGCGGCCTGCCGAGGTTATGTTTATTTAGAAGATCCGGGATTGATAGGTGAGATTAAACGAAACGAGACGAGATTGAGAATGATTTGGCTCAACTTCAAAAAACTATAAATATTTAATTAACTAAATTTTAATTATAACAACAAATAATAATTAATAATAATTATAGTAGATAACAATAAATATAATAATTATAAATTGTTATGTACTCAGAAGATAGACTGGAGGGATTGAAAGCGGTTAGTTTATTCACTCATCTATCTCTTTTCTTTTTTCTGTTTTTCATTCATTCATTTATTGCTTATTTGTTCATTCATTCGTTCCTTTTTTCATTTATCTACATGTTCCATTCATCCATTCAGTCGCTTCTGCCCATTCGTTCGTTCGTTCATCCCTAAATATGTCATTCAACTCAAATCATTTGTCCATGCAAAATACATTTAATTATTCATCAATCCATCTTCAGTAAATTCATTCATTCATTCATTCGTTCATTCGTTCGTTCGTTCGTTCGTTCATTCATTCATTCATTCATTTATTAGTTCAAATTTTAATTAGACGCAGGCATTTGAGAATGATGATGATGATGACGACGACGACAACGACGATGATGGCTCTAATGTCTTCATTATCAATCATTTCTGCCTTCAAAACGTTAGATTGGAAGGACTTGATTGACCGATTGATCAATATTTGATTGATTGGTTGGCTGGTTGGTTGAATGATTGAATAAATTAATTAATGAATGAATTGATTGATTGATTAATGGCTGACCGACTAATTTTTAAATTTGATTGTTTAATTGAATAAATGATTGATTGATTTATACTAGTTGACTGATCTATTGTTTAAAAAAATGAATGATTGAATGATTGATTGACTGACTGACTGACTGACCGACTGAATGTTTGATTGATTAGATTGAAAAAATTAGAAGAATGATTGATAGAATATCATCGATCGTTGGAGAAATCAAAATGATACACCGAGCAATACTTACCACACCTCTATCAAATAAAAGTAAGATGATGATGATTATTATGATATATGATGACGATGATGATGATGATAATGAAGATGATGGTGATGAATTTTATTGCTGTTATTATTATTATTATTATTATTATTATTATTATTATTATTATATAGAATAACGATGATGATGATAATGATGATGATCTAGGAATGATGGAAGAATTGAGAACTTGCATGTCACAAGTCATAAATAGGGCGGTGCGTGTTGAGAAAAAGCTTAAAGGTTGGCGAACGAACGAACGAACGAATGAATGAGTGAGTGATTGAATGAATGATTAAGTGAGTTAATTATTGAGTGAATGAATGAATGAGTGATTTAATACTTTTTGATTTGACGGTTTCATAGTTATGGAAACCAAACTGAAGCCAGATACTGGAGAACGAAGTGTAACGGATGAACGTAAAATTCAAGTTGGGCACTTTTCCTTCATTCATTCATTCATTCATTCATTCTTTCATACATTCGTCATGATTGAATACTTATTAATTCATCTATTAATTCATCTATTAATTCATTCATTCATTCATTTATTCATTCATTCATTCGTTTGTTTTTTTTTATTTCAACCATTTAATTAACCTATGAAAAAGTTCGTTCTTCAACTAAAATTTATTCTTTATTTACATTTTTTAACCAATCTTGAAAAACTATTGATTTAATCAACCAATTGCAAGACGTTTAAACAAACCACATTTCATTCAACCAATCGCGATAGATGGTTATATTAATCAACCAATCACAAACACTTATTCTGACCTAATTTTTTTGATGCTAACCCAATCATAGCACTCCACACTTTCCAAAAACTTTCTCGACGCCATGAACGATTACTACTCCTGTAGAATGGAATATAGGTCAAAATGTAAGGCGCGAATCCAAAGGCAACTTGAAATAAGTAGGTCATCCCGCAGTCTCTTTCACCACCATCACCATCGTTGTTATCATCATCATCATCGTCGTCGTCCTAAATATAACTATCATCATCATCATCACCATTGTCCCTACCATTACTATCATCATCACCATCATCATCCTCAAGCTGGCAGATCATTATCGGATGAAGAAATGGAGCGATTTGTGGAGGGTGTTGGAAATCTAAACATATTCACTAACGGGGTTGACTGCAAATGAATGAAAGAATGAATGAATGAATGGATGAATGAATGGATGGATAAATGGATGGATGATTGAATAATGAATGAATGAATTTTCATTTATCAACATAAAATCAACAATGTCAAAACGCTAGCAAAAGTACAACATGGCACAAACATATGTAACATAGCAGAAACATAGATAACATAGTACAAACGTAGACAATATAACATAAATTCCAACAACAACAACAACAAACAGATTATAGCAGCTACTGAAATCACCGAAGTTAAACAAGCCATAGAGATTTCAGAAGTAAAATAATCAGTCTCCTAAAATTTTTTGTATTTTTTGTCCAGTGTATAAATAAGAAAATTTTTTGCTATACGTTGTTCATATATTCATTCATTCATTCATTCATTCATTCATTCATTCATTCATTCATTCATTCATTCATTCATTCGTTCATTCATTCATTCATTCATTCACTCCCTCATTCATTCATTCTGTCATTCATTCCTTCATTCATTCCCTCATTCGTTCTCTCATTCGTTCCCTCATTCATTTCCTCATTCATTCTCTCATTCATTCCCTCATTCATTCCCTCATTCATTCCCTCATTCATTCCCTCCTTCATTCCCTCATTCATTCCCTCATTCATTCCCTCATTCATTCCCTCATTCATTCCCTCATTCATTCCCTCATTCATTCCCTCATTCATTCCCTCATTCATTCCCTCATTCATTTCCTCATTCATTCCCTCATTCATCCAGTTATGCAATTCTCCTCGAATCAACATTTTATTTACATTATAATAACTCCTGATTACATATAACCATGTAAAGAATAAATCAGTCGAACTGCAGCAACAACAACTACACCAACATCAACAACAACTACATCATCAACAACAGCCACATCATCAACAACAACTACATCATCAACAACAACTACATCACCAACAACAACTACAACAACAACGACAACAACTACAACATCAACAACAACAACACCAACAACAGCAGAAAAAACAACAAACCGAGCATTGTAGTATACAATGACAAAAAGAAAATCCGTGTCTGGTATGAAGCAAATGCGAAAAAATGATGATCATGATGTTGACAGATGATGATAATGATGAGATAATAAGGGCGACGATGATGATAATGATGATGAATGACGACGACAACGATAATGTTTATATTCGAAAGGTTATATCTAGATGTGTATCTATTTGTCGTACATATATCTTAATGAAAATATTGACGATGATGACGATGATTAAAAATACCATACATCTAACAAAGAATGATTGTGTCGAGTTTTATTACAACGTCGTCATCGTCACAATCATCGTCACCATCATCATCGGATTATCTTATGGTTCCAGGGTGATGTATATATGTGACATATAGGTGATGTGATACATAATGTTAAAAGTAATTGAAATGATAACAATCAAGATGACGAAATAATGTTTTTTTTTGTATGGTGATGATGTTCCAATATTTTAATTTGTTCCTACAATTCTTCGGCTTCTGATTTTGAATTTTAAAATATTTTTTTTACGAAATTTCATATAGAAAAAATGATGTTATATTTATAACAATTGTTAACTATGTGTTTTAATTGTTTCAGAACCCGATCGGGCAAACGCTAATTTCATTTATTTTTATTGGCAACGTCAAAGAATTTTTTCTGTGAAAATGTGAACGAAAAAAAAAACACACATCAGAAATGAAACAAAGACACACACACACATCACGCACACACACATACATACACATAAGCACACACACATACACATGCAAATACAAGTTACAAGTCAAATGAACGCGTCATGACGTTTTTGCTCGGGAAAGCCTGGGAGATATATGCATTCGAACTCTATCGATGCAACTTCAACTTCTGATCATCGAACGTCTTTCACCATTACTCCATCTAGCCGTCAATTTTTATAGTTGAGTGTTTGCTTTGAAAGAAAACGCGAGAATTGAAAAACTTCAAAGTTATCTAGAAGCCAAAAATGGCTGCGGTTGATTCTGCGCACTCGAACTTAAAATTTCAAAACTTTTTACGTCGTTAGGGGCACTCGTCGGAGTTGTTGTCGTCAACAAATCAAAATTCGACTTTTGAAAGGTTGTTGTGTTGTGGTGGTTGTTGCTAGCCATTCCGTAGTAACCGTTGATGTTGTTGTGGTTACTGCTGTTGATGTTGTTGATGTTGGTGGTGGTGGTGGTAGTGCGAGGTGACAACGACGATGACGTCATGGATGAGTTGTTGTAGAGAGGGTGATGTGCCTGGTGTTGGCCGGCGTATTGCGGACTTTGAGAGAAATAGTGGGGATGGGTTTGGAGGGGGTAGCTAGGAGGATGCGTCCGGCCAATCGTGTTCTTGCCCGTTGAATATCGACCAATCACGTGATTGGCGAACGGGGAAGAAGAGGGGTTATGATAATGCGACGATGACGTCATCATAGATGAAGGATCTTTGGTGCAATAGGGGGAGAGCCTGAGGGTTTCGTTAGTGGATAGATCGATTAAATAACGAGTGAATGAATGACTAAATGAATGAATTATTTGGTTAAATAATTTATTTCATAAAATTAACATTTAAATAATTTAATATTATGATTATTATAATCAAATATATTATGAATATAATATTTTTATTGAACCAAAAACATTGTAGAAAATAAAAATTCATGAAGAAATCGCATTAAGAGAAAAACATGCAGAGGGAGAAAAATCTCTCGACTTATCTACGTCATCTCCCGCGTCAGCGCACGTCGCCATGTTGACAAATATGACGTCACGAAGTGCATCACTTCCGGCATTGTTATCATAACATCTCGTCGTGATGGGTGTAGTGTGTGGGTTGGTTAGGGGGGGTGGGGGCATGGGGGGATCTTCTTGCGGGGTGACTAAGAGTGATGATGATGAGGATTGGGGTGGAGTTGTGGGAATGATAATGATTGTTAATAATGACGACAATTATGATGATGATGGTGATGACGATAATGTATGTTGTTGATGATGATGAAAAATATGATGATGACAAAGATGAAAACAAATTTAAATATCAAGCCAAAAAAAATTCCAAAAAATCAAACATTCCCTAACAGGAGAATCTGCATTCTTTGACGGCGGAAGTGAGGTCTAGGATTCTCGGCGTCATCTGGTGAACCGACGCCGGCGTTCGCGGACGTGACGTCGACGATGACGTCATGGCTTGGGATTCTATAGCGCTTGATATTTTAGTGGCGTCCTTGTTCATGTGATCGTCTGTAGGAAGAAATATGCGTGCGTGCCAGTCGGCAGTTAACATCATCAAGCAACCAAATGCAAGCTTAAAATACGAAACATTCGCAAGGTATAAGCTGAACCTTTGATTGGTCCGTTGAAGACGTTGTATTTCCAGCTGTTGCAACAGCTGCAGAAGTAGCAGCAAAGGCAGATTGTGGCCACAACAATTGTTAGCGCTATAAATAGACCGGCTCCAGTTACTATGACCACCACTGGCACGCTGATGGTGATGATTTTGCGATGGTGATGAGGATGATGATTTTGAGATGATGATGATGATTTTAAGATGATGATAGTGATGATGATTTGGTGATTGCGAGGAAGTGGTGAGTAAGATGCTGTTAAATGAGTGAAGAAGATGATGATAACGTTGTAAGGATAGAGGTACTGAGACTGACTGATGATGACGACAATGGTGATGTTATTATACACGGCGATGAGTGGACCTAGTTAGTTAATGATGGTGTCAAGAAAAAATGCTGCTATGTTGTCCGTGACTCAGAGAAAGAAATTGAAAGAAATAAAAGAGATGAATAAAGATGGAAGAAAAAAAGAAAAAGAAGAGAGAGAGAAAGAGAGAGAGAGAGAAAGAGAGAGAGAGAGAGAGAGAGAGAGAGAGAGAGAGAGAAAGTAAAAATAAAGATATAAAACACCGACATTAAATTTAACGTGTACAAATATTATTTATAAGATATAAAAATTTATGTCTGGGTATGTACACATACGTACATACACACACACATATACATACATACACACACACATACATACATACACACATACATACATACATACACACATACATACATACAAACATACATACATACAAAAAACACGTACAGCATACAAACTTACATACAAAACACAGTTGTTCAACATACTCTTAAGTACATGCGTGTAAATATTGGCTTATGTGTGAATGTATGTGTTTGGGATTGTTTATGAAGAAAAGGAGAGAAGGAGAGAAAAATAAAGAGAAAGAGAGAGAGAGAAAGAGAGAGAGTTTTTGTGTGTTATTATATGTCAGCTTTCACTCATTTTATGATCATAAGATGTTTATTACAACGGTTTATAGCGTAGGTTTATTGTGATTTACAATTGCTATTATTAACATTATTATTAATAATATTATATATTTTAATATATTATAACTATATTACTGTTATTATTTTTATTGTTATTATTATTTTTTATTAATACTTATTTTTATTATTATTGTTAACAATGTGATGCTGAGACTGGCGCTTGGTTTATCCAGGTATTTTAGGGCGAGTGTGTATGCTTTTGTGTCTGTCTATTTGTATGTATGTTTGTATGTATGTATGTATGCATGTATGTATGTATGTATGTATGTATGTATGTATGTATGTATGTATGTATGTATGTATGTATGTATGTATGTGTGTGTGTGTGTGTGTGCGTGTTGTGTGTATGTTCTTAAACGAAATGCCCCGATGTTGCATTGTATTATAGTCGCGGTGCATATGTACATAAACATGCAACACGTGCTATCACATATTCACCAACAATCAATCACACTGACATGCATAAACACGTGTATAACACACACACACATACACACACACATATACATACATACATACATGAATGCAAACATGCATACATACATACATACATGTTTTATTGCTTTATAACAAACATTGTTTGATGGTAGATGAGGAGGATTTATTTTTGTGCGATTGTCAACTTGTGTGTTCGTGACCAAGGTAATGATGATGATGATGATGATGTCGTTGTTGATGATGATTGTGATGATGATTGTGATGATGATGGTTGATGATGACGATGTTGAAATAAAAAGATGCATAGCGAAGCAATGAAATAAATCAAAATGAATATTTTTTTTTCTAAATTTTGCTTATGTTAAAATGCAACAAACTCTTCAAGAAATGTGTTTTTCTTTTTTGTAGATACACATACAAAAACATACACACATACAATTATACACACACATACACACACACACATACATGCATACATACTCACAGAAATACACACAGACACAGACGTTCACACGCATACTAACGTCACAGTAGACTGTTCTAAAATCACATCTTCACCGACAATAGTACCAGCCAAAAAATCGTTACCACCACTACTACTACCACTACTACCACTACTACTACCACCACTACTACTACCACTACTACTAGTGACAACGTGGGTGGTCTTATTAGAGGGTGGGGGAGGGCAGCAGTATCGATTTTTGTCGCCGCCACAACAATAGTTGTCGTTGAGGTAGCCCCACTTCGGACACTTGAAGCCGTTGTTCCAAACGCCGTGGTGGTCCGTGTAGCCGGGACACTGTTCGTAATGAACTGCTGGGTGGTGGAGATGAAGAGGATGAGGATAAACATGAGAATGAAGATGATGACGATGAGAAAGTTGATGCTAATGATGATGATGATGACGTTATCTGTCATTATAATGTATGAAGATGAGACTGGATGGAGGTGATGATGACGTCAAGCATCATTGGAACGTATCTGGTGAGTTGATGAAGATGATACCATGATGACATTTTAGAAAAATAAGTTTAAAGACTCGGTGATGATAACTAAATGGTGGCATCAAAAGTGACAAGGAAAATGATAACGAAGTCAAAAACGAAGATGATGATGATGAAGATGATGATGAAGAAGATGATGATGAAGATGATGATGAAAATGATGATGATGAATACGAAGTCAAAGACGACGATGAAGAAGAAGAAGAAGACGACGACGATGAGGATAACTCCTACAGAAAGTTACAACTATATACTCGCAAGAAATTGACCATAAAATATTTTATAAAATAAACAATCGCAGATATAAAATTCATAATAATAACAACAATGTTAATAAAATCATCAAGAATAATAACAAAAATAACAAATAATAATAATAATAACAATAATAATAATAACAATAATAATAATAACAATAACGTTAAACTGGAACACTTGTGCACACTTATCAAAGGTAACGCGAGCTTTTTCACGAACGTTTAATATTATTTTAATACAATTTATTTAAACCCTAGATAAATACACACACGCACGCACAAGAGCACACACACATACAAACACACATACACACATACAAACACTCGCATACAAACACGCGCATACGCATACAAACACGCGCATACACATACAAACACACAAATATGACACAGTAGTAGTAGTAATTTTTGTGATGGTAGTAGAGTTAAAATTAAAAATACTATAAGTAGTAGTATAGAAGTAGCAGCAGCAGCAGTAGAACCAGTAGGAGTAATAGTAGTAGCAGCAGCAGTAGTAGTAGTAGCAGCAGTAGTAGTAGTAGCAGCAGTTGTAGCAGCAGTAGTAGTAGTAGTGACAGTAATAAAGCATATTCAGTGCAGAAATGATTAGTTTGATGTACGTAAAAATGTTATATTTCAATCTTCACAGCCACTATCATCATCATCATCATCATCAACAGCAACAACAACAACATCATCATTATCATCATCATCATCTTCTTGATCATTATCACCATACTTTTTCATCACTATCATCATCATCATCACTGTCAAGTGTATCATTATCATCACCATCATCGTTTTCATCTATATCTAGCAGCATTTTTAAACTTAACCATCGTCGTCATCACCATCACCAACATCAGCAGCAACCACAGCAGCTACAACAACATCATCATCATAACCTTTGTAATTTCCTCCAGTTTCTCGTCCTCCCATCATCTCTCTCTCTCTCTCTCTCTCTCTCTCTCTCTCCCTCTCCTACTTTTTTCAACTGGCGTAATAAAAATCTTTATGAACCACTACAACTTTCAATACTTTGTCGACGACGATGACGATGACGACTCCGGTTATGACGACGATGATGACGTCATTGATGATGACGCTAATGTTGGTGATGACGATGACGATGATGGCGGTATTGATGGTGATGCTAATTATAAAAACAATGAACGACCACAATGATTATTTTGAGGTTTTCTTCATCATCTTCATCATCATCATCAAACTGACTGTTCGACGATGATGAAGATGGCAAAGATGATGATGGCAATAGTGAGGAATAGAAGACAAAGATGATGATGATGATGACGAAGAAGAAGACGATGATGATGATGATGACGAAGAAGAAGACGATGATGACGAAAGATGTATTATTAATGAAAAAATTGCTATCCAGACGCGTAAATATGATATCAGGTTCTCATATTTTTTTCTTTTTCTGGTTCAATTCCTGCGATCTAGATGTTTAATATTACGACATTTATATGACTTTGTGTGTGTGTGTGTGTGTGTGTGTATGTGTGTGTGTGTGTGTGTGTGTGTGTGTGTGTGTGTGTGTGTGTGTGTGTGTGTGTGTGTGTGTTGTGTTGTGTGTGGTGTATGCGTGTATGCGTGCCCAAATATTTATTTTATTTCATCATTAATAACTTTATTTTATATAATAATAATAATAATAACAGCTTCTAGAACAGCGCCTCTGAGTTTTACATAGAGGGGCGCTATATAAATTCTCCATACCATACCATACCAATAATAATAACATCACTTCTTCAAGAAATTCTCCAGTTTTTATTGTTATGATTATTAGTATTAAAAACTGATTGTCAATTTAACTGATTATTCAATTAATTATTTAATTGACTGTCTATAATAATTATAATTATTATTATTATTACCTTTATTTGTAGTTGTGTTTCAACTGCTTTACTTTTAGAACTGAGTTAATACAAACTGAATGAAGTAAAATGAGATGAAACTCTTATTAAATAAATACTAACTATACCTATTAAACATTATCGTTATTGTTATTATTAGCATTCTTTATTATTACATAATATTATTTTATTACTATTATTACTTATTTTTATTATTACTATTATTATTATTATTATTATTATTATTATTATTATTATTATTATTATTATTATTATTATTATTATTATTATTATTATTATTATTATTATTGAATGGAAGATGCGCAGAGCGTCGATCTCTTTCAGATGTTAAGTAAAATAAAAATCACTTTCCAGCCATTCTCAAAACAATCTCAAGTCTTTCCTGAATGTATGGCAGGATATTATATACAAAACATATATACATACATACATACATACATACATACATACATACATACATACATACATACATACATACATAACATACATACATACATACATACATACATACATACATACATACATACATACATACAGACATACATACATACATACATACATACATACATACATACATACATACATACATACATACATACATAACATACATACAAACATACATACATACATACATACATACATACATACATACATACATACATACATACATACATACATACATACATACATACATACATACATACATACATACATACACATGTACAATTTTTTTATCAAAAGAAGATGTTATTTTTTAATGGATAAAATGATTAACATTTCTGATAAGGAGTAAAAAAGATGAAGCCGATGATAACGATGATGAGACGGCGGTTGTGGTAATGATGTTGAATTGAGGAGAAGGAGTACATATTTACAAATAAGTTTTATTTTTACAAATTAAATTGGGTAAAAATTTTTGTTATAATCAGTCAAAACATGTTTCATATTAGCATTTTTTAATTTTTTAGTAATATTCCAATTTAGTACCATCGACTTTTGTTTGAAAACTTTGTTGAGACATCAAACTAATTTAGTTCCCTTTGTTTAGGTGTAAATGTGGACGAGTCAACTTTTAAAAATTTTTCATTTCGAAATGTCTATTTGATTGAAGCTTTTAATAAAATATTCCAGATGATTTTATAAATTTTTGTAAATTTTGATTAAGAATTTTCATCTCAGAGTAGTATTTCATCCATCCGTTTTTGCCTAATTTGTAAAAATGTTCAAAATGTTGAACGACAGTCCTGTGTTAAAAACCCATCCAATAACTGAAGACTTCATCATATCAACGAACGTATTAGGATTGGGAATTAATGGGAAAGTTACGGAATGCTACTCCAGATTTAATAATCAGAAATGTGCTTTGAAGGTTCCCAATTAGTTATTTTTTTTCTATTTTTTAACAATTTATTAAAAATTAAGTTGCATGTGGCATGTTAGTTAATCAGAACTAGATCAGCTAACTAACATGTGGCATGTTAGTTCAGCTAACTAACAGCTAGCTGTGGCATGTTAGTTAGCTGATCTGAACTACTTACTAAATAAAATAGCTAAACTGAGAGTTAGGAGTAACAAATATAGAATTTCAAATATAGAATTGTTTTTTTTATGTTTATTTGTTTATTTTTTGATTTATGTTTCTAAATTTAATAAAAGTATCAAGCATACACTAAAGGACAAAAGTAGAATGTAGAAGTAGATTAGATTAGTTTGAAATTTGATTTGATATATTTTGATTATGTTTGACTAGAGTTGTTGTTAGATACAACAAACAACACACGTTTAGACGGCATTTTCCCCGAGATCGGGGTAGCCGTTTGGCTACCTATGATGAAACCGAAATACCCCTCGATGCCATCCAAATCTGTCACTCGCCTCAGTATCTCGCAACCCCGCTTTCACCCTGTCCTTCTCCACCTGCTCTCTCTATCTTAATCGCGGATGACCCCTTCCTACCACTCCTTCAAACTCCAACGCTCGCCTAATCCCAACCCTTTCATCCCTTCTCAACCCATGCCCATACTACCGCAATCTCGATCTCCTTATCAATGTCACAATGTCCTCATTCAGTCCCATCATCGACATCAGCTCTGTACTACTCCTCCTATCCTTCACTTTAACCCCACACATCATCCTCACCATAGCTCT